AATCGCCTCGAGATTGGTTATTATTACCCCGTTAACGCGGTTACCGTTGCCACCAATCGTACTTTCAATCATCTTCGTTATCGAACTCCTCGCGACGAAATCGCCTTCCACCGCCCCTACACCGCCTCCTCCTCCTCCTCCCTTTCTTTCGACGTCGCTCGTCTATCTTGTTCAATCTCGCCCCACGACCACTGTTTCTCTTTCGTCAACCTCCATTTCCTCCCGTGTCCAACACTCGATTTTCGATACGAGTTGCGGAACGAACGTTGATTATCGATTTGCCTCCAACACCCCCTGCGTTTCGACGATGCCTCGTTATCTTCGATTACCGGAGAACAGCGTGTATTTCTTTCGCTCTCAAAGAATTACGAAACACGAACAGGATATTATTTTCAAGAATTTTGAATTCATCGAACACGTTATATCCAAATTTTCAATCGACCGATTTGAAATTCAATACGACAGAAACATTCGAATCGTGAAATGTGTAATCGCAAAAACGGGAGGGAGAATTTTTCCATTCGCCTGTCCTCTGGAAATCGACCTCGTTGACGACAACGTTGACGATTTAAAATTCGCCACGTAGCCACGTAGCCTCCTATTAATATCGAAAGGGGAACTCCAGCCGCGTATTATTCGTTCCGCCCCCCTCGTGCGGCCGCGCGAGAAACAGTGGCCGAGATTTATGCCCGGCTACGTGACAAAAGGCGACCAACTCGAGTCTAGTTTACAGGGGCGATGCTGGGACGGAAATCTGAAATATTCAAGGGACGGAGGAGGAAAGGTATGTATACTATACGTGGGAATTCGAGTCTGTCTGCAGCGTGTAATAAATTGAAACGTGCATATCTCCGGAGGCGAAGCCGGTGGTCGTGGTATACCAACACGAAGCTGGCGAGCGCAGATAAGCAACGACGCGGTAATCCTCGGACACACTGTATAAGTTAACGCCGCTAGACCTTGCGTATTACATTAACGTTCAGCCCATCGTCCCCTGGGAGGGAGAAACAGAAAATAAAGATAAAGGTGTAAAGGGTATAGCGCGAGAGGAATAGCTGGGCTGCTTAGCTTCTGTGGAGAAGGAGGAAAAGAAGGAAGGCTCTCGGGATAATTTCAAAAGGGTTGCTAGTCCTAACCGGAGACAAGCTGCTACTATCTGGTTAAAAGGCGTGCCGTATGGTTAAATGGTCGGTGTGGTTGCAGGACGCGGCGTTAAAAGGTGCAAATAGCCGAAAGCTTAAAACGCCGACTTTTCGAGCGTCGAGGACGGAACTCAGAGGGGCCCTGAAAATATCCACCCGCGTGCCGGTAATAAAGTTAGTGCCGATGTGCTCGGAGAGATAGTTGGCCGAGGGATGCGGAATTGCGGCACGGTTGGAAACAAAAGCAAGCCGAATTCGCCTCTTTGTTGTGCAAGGAAGGGGGGAGGAGGAATTCTCGAATCTTCGTGTTCCCGCCCGCGTCACGGATTAGCCGTGGCGGCGATAATAGCCGTGATAATGGTAAAATGACTTCGAGCAGTGCGGATTTTTGAAAGGATTGCAGCAGCTTTGATTTAATTTTTTAAGTCATTCGGATTCGGATACGATTTTCAATCGTATCCCGATGTAACAGTATCATCGTGAATTGTATAAATTTTGTCGTGAAAAAAATTCACGGAGATAAGAGCGAAGATATGAAATGAGATAGGAGGTTAAGTGTTTTAACCTGAATTAGTCACGCGTGCTACGTAACAGCGACTCGGTTAGTAAACAAGGATTAAATAGCAAAAAGAAGCTTCGTCACTTTCGTGGAACAAAGTATTTCCTAGAAAAAAGTATTTTTATTTTTGTTCTGTGTGTGTATATACCAGGCTTATGCGACACATTCGTTACGTCCATCGTTACGATCTCAAGAAGTCTGTTAATTCCACGTTCATTAGTCACGACGAGGTATCCGGTGAAGAACGAGGCGCGCCTAGCTCGGAGACGAGCATAATTAAAAAACGAAGGTTTCTTCGTTAATAATTAGATTTCGTTGCATCGACGACAAAATTAAGAAGAAGAAAAGAACACATACGTTCGGCCTCTTCCCGATTGTAAAATATTTCCTATCTCTGCACTTCTTCGAAGGTAAGGAACAAATTTATTTGCCTTATCGATAAGTTCAACGCTTGANGAATTTCCGTAACAGGTTAGAAAATATTTAAAATATCTCCGTCACACGCGAACGACCATCATCA